CAGAAGCTCTGGTTACCACAGAAGCTCTGTAGTCTTTGAAAGCGGCTCTGGTCTCCGTGACTCTTTAGCACAGAGGCTGGTCTTCTAGACTTAGACGTTTTGGCGCAGATAMTTCTTCAATTCGTCTTCTAGCTCTGGATTGTTTCATGAAACTTTTTCAAGTTAATTATTAGCTTCAAAAATAAAGCTAACAGTTAAGTTGAGTTAAAAAATTTCAAACCACAAACATTGGGTTGGGCTGATCAGCACTCCTACCTTCAACCTTTGATGTACATTAGGATGGTATGTATTGAGATGAGATGCACCAAATTAATTCCCGTATCAAGTATAATCTATGGTGGGTTTGAGATTAAAGATGATCAAACGTCTAGATCCTTATCACGTTTCTCACCTTAACTCTACTTTTCATACGATACTTCGCCTTATAACATATTCTCATATGCTCTATAGAAAAGTTTCTTCTTCATCTTTAGGCAACAAGTTGATTATTGACAATTTTAATTGGCTTCATACAAAACTCACCTCTAAAGATGTTAATATGAGAGTAGAGATGGCCAAATCGGCCTGGCCTGGCCCGAGACTGCAGGAGGACCGGGACCGACAAAGGACTGGCCCGGGACCGGTAAGGACCGGTTATGGGACCGAAAACCGGGACCGGTTGAAGTTTTTGGTAGTTTCATAGAACTGGGACTGACCGGAACCGGTTATGGGACCGACTATGGATCGGCCTGGCCCGGCCCGAAAATTTAAATAATTTTATAAATAAATGTATTTTTAAATAATTTTATAACGTACTTTTATAAGACAACGTAATTTTAATTATATTAAAACACATTTTTAAAGTGTATTTGAGTGACCCAATTGTAAATTTTATAATGTATTAAAAATATATATCATTAAAAAAATAAAAAAAAAATCTTATTTTTTTAATGTAAGGATCAGTTGGGACCGGGACCGAGACCGACGGCCCATAACCGGTTATGAAGTACCTTGACCGGTCCTATCATTTTCCACCGGGACCGGAACCGAGACCGGGACCGGTTACGCCGGGACCGGTTACGCCGGGACTGGTTATGGCCGGTTATGAGAAAAGTGAGGACCGATTGGGACCGGCCCGTGACCGGTTTTTGGCCATCTCTATATGATAGGACATTTATTGATTTCTTTAACGGCTAAGGTTTGCAAGGAGGCAGAGATTAAACCTGAGACTTGTCTTATATTTAGATAAAGTTAACCCTTATTTTACCAACTAAACTACACATAAGAGGCTATTTAACAAAATATTTAATAATTTGTTTTTAAACTAATTTTGTGTATAATACTATGATGAATTTCGTATTTTTCATGAAGTTATAAAGTGTTTTTTTTATTGTAAAATAAATAATTATTTTGAATCAAAAATCCAAAAATTATTATGATATGTTCATTGTATCTAGAAGATAATAAGGGACAGTTTGGTTCGTGAAATTCGAAAGAATTTGGTGGAATTAGAATGACAAATTCTTTTGACTAAATTTCAATTCCTTTGTTTGGTTCATTTATTGAAATTTATGGAATCCTTCACATTTCATTAAATTCCACAAATTAATGAATTAAGCATTCATTGCATAATGAAAGGAATTAAATTCCAACACCACCCACCATGACCATACTACTATTGCTCCCGATGTCCCACCCCTAACCCACCACCACCACCACCCCCCCTACTACTGTCGTCGCCACCCCAAACCCACCCTACCCTACCACTAACCACCATCCTACTACTATTGTCATCACACCCACCCACCCCCGTTCACTCACTGCACACCCCTACCACGACCATGTTAATACCGTTACTGGTACGCCCCTAACCTAATCCCCACCACCACACCCATTATTGTCGCTATCACAACTGTCACTCACCCCACCCCTAACCTAACCCCCCCCCCCCCCCACACCACTATTGTCGCCTTCACTACCACCATTCACCCACACCCCACCCTACCCCAACCCACCACTAAACACCATGCCACTATTGTTGTTTTCATATCCACCCACTCCCAGGCCTCCGCCCACCATCCCACCACTATAGTCGTCACAACTACCACCCCGCCACCTATCCTCACCACCTCACCCCTAACCTAACCTCCACCCCCACACCACTATTGTCGCCTTAACAACCACAACTAACCTACCCCAACCCACCACTAAACACCATGCCACTATTGTTGTTTTCATATCCACCCACTCCCAGGCCTCAGCCACCCGACCACTATCCCACCACTATCATTGTCATAGCTACCACCCGCCACCTACCCCTACCACCCACCGTCTCCCCCCGTCTCCCGGCCCCATCCCACCTTACGCTACTCCAATCC